ACACACACACACACACACTTTACCTCTGTGATAATGAAGAAGTCATCACCAGGGTCTCCCTGCACCACTATTTTCTCTCCGTCCTCAAACTGAACTGGTTCCAGAGCATCGGCTACAGTCAGACGTTCCCACTTGTCCAAGGACTCTGTGAACGATAAACTCGCATGCATCAGTAAAAACAGTGTAAATTACATCATCTCTACAAAGCAACTGTAAATGATCAAAAGTTCATCTAAGTGAGTCTCAGTGTCTAACTAAGATCCCGTCATTCATCAGGGACCATTCAATCTCTGATCCCTCTGCCTCCTCAATCCCATCATGGAGCTTTGTGGTGCTAAAACACCTTGATATAAACCGCTAAAACTTAAAGATGCTATGGATTTTCGGGGTGCGGTGACAAAAAGCTGACCCCCAAAAGGCTAATTCAGGTCTGACCGCACCATGACACTAAGATCTAAAGTTTTATCACCAACAGTAAGGTATCCTTGAGAGGGCCACTTGGGGGGCATGGTGCTTGTAGAAGTGAATATGTACAAGATGCAGCATCGAAGAAATCTAAAGGCCAGTGAGGGTAATGTTTGTTCAGTGGCTAACATCTAAAGGGGAAGCAAGATCAAATGTTTCTGTTGGCAATTATAATATCAAAAGTAATATAGATATAATGATAAGCAACTATGAAACCTCGCAATAGATGTATTTCTGGTACATTTTAAAACTCTATTTCAAAATATGTGGAGAATTGACCATTTGTCAATGAGTCCTGCCAAAACCTGTGATCTTTTTCAGTTTTTGTTGATCCTGAGAGCCAGTGGCGACAGCTGTCTTTCCGACTGTCCAACCACACGTACAGTGATGTGGTTAGCCCGGGGTATTTCTAGATGCTGTTGGTATTCGCACAGAAACCAAAAACACAGACGGTCACACATCTTCACTGGGAAAAAATGTTCCGAGGAGTTTTTCAGCAACTCAGATGAAACAGTATTTATAGAAACAGAGGCCCAATAATTTATAAATATCTCCACATAGAAGATTCGCTGAATGAGCTCATCCTTTTACTGGTACCTAATCTTAACAATCTACATGGAATGTGACTTATCTGCAGTGAAAACACTCCTCATCTTTAGCTTTGTCTGGATGAGTGTGTGTCACTGTCTTGATTTGACAGAGACATGAGTTAGAGGCGTTAAACTATAGCACAATCTCTTTGTCTGAGACTGTTGTCTCCTGATACTCAGGGTAACTGATGCCAGTGTCTCTATTTGTGTGTGTGTGTCTAAATGTGTATGTACTTAGGATTAACCAAGGTGAGGTCTGATGGGTTGGAGGTGTCCAGTGTCCCCTCTGGTGGGGCCATGGTGTCTGCCGGCCCCAGATGGATGTCCCCTGTCTGGAGGCAAGCTAAAGGCAGCAGGTTCTATAGTGGCGATCCTTAACAGCTCGGCAGGTAACACGATACACAAATGTGCTGACTAAAGACGCTACATTTCACGCTTCGCAGAGCCTGGACCCACTTGGATCACCTTGCTACACACACACACGCATATCTATTACACATACAACTGGCCACTGGGATGTTGAAGCCTCCGTATGTGTGTTTGTGTGACAAAGAACATGTTGTTTTTCTCTCCTCCACTCCAAGACATCAAGGGCTTGTACCCAATTTCGTGGCTATCTCAAAAATCAAAGACAAACAAAAACACTCCCGCCTCCTACCCCTCCTCCAATTCAAAGAGGCAGAGCACAGAGGCAGGACGGCGGAAAGAGGAATGAGGAGAAGGAAAGCCGCTCGAAGTGAGACGCGAGCGCCTGAATACAGGCCTCGACAAGGCTTTCCAAAAGGGAGGCGCAGAAGAAAGGAGGTGAATGAAAAGAGTGCAGACCTTGTAGAGACATTCTCTTAAGACCTGAATTGAGTGTATGTGTTTACTCAGCCAGCTAATAACTCTGTACAGGGGGCATGGCCTTACTCTATACACCACACACACATGATCAAGTGGAAAGGGATGAGATGTCAGTTCCATTTGCAGTTCGTTTTGAAAGTCTGAATGAATCTCATTCGCCAATTCTCCAAACTAAATGGCCTGTGCAGGCTGGAGTTATCCAAATTCCAGTGGGAAAAGAGAGGCTTAGCTTAACTCTCCATTCTTTAATTGTCCACATAGCGACATTGCAGAGTGTGACTGGTTTTAGTATGAACAGAAGATTAGACTGTACACATAGACCTTACTCAGCTATGGGCCTTGTGTGACAACGTGCGTCTGTGTTTATGTGGGCTAATCTACATTATACAGTATGTCGCACACAGTAGACTTAACTGCCTGCACTCTGGACTCTCTGACCTGGTGTTGAAGATTTATGCGTAACAAGGGAACGCACGTGTAAACACAATCATGCTTCAGTATATTCATAAATGCAGAAACAAACAAAGGACTATGACTAAAAACACTATGATCCACATACACAGACTCACCAAGGATGGAGACCTTGCTTAGAAACTCTTCATACATCTTTCTCTTCCGCAGTGTGCTACCCTGTAAAACAAAGGAGATTTACATTTACCACATGAAGCACTCTGGCAAGGCTGCACATGTATGATAGAATAAAAATTATGATTAGTAGGCAACATATTGCGATCATTATGTGGTGATTATAAGAAGATGGAAAAGATTTATTGCATTTTGGTGCCGTAACATATAGTTTTCTCCTCCTTCATCTCTAAAATTGGCGGGTTTTATTCACTGTGGAAGCAAGTATTCTTTTGGGAAGTGTCTTGTTGAAGAAACAAATTTGAATAATAACTACTTCGACACCTGTTTGGAGTCGTTGAATCACAACTGAGAGTATCTCTAAATGACAGGCAGCGTTAAACTTTTGTCACACTTAAATTCAAAAGATTTTTCTTCTGAGGATGACTGTCCCCTCCATTACACTTACCATGTCATTAGGTTTTACAATATATGATTTCTGTTTTATTTCTTCTTGCATTTCACTGTAACCGATCACTTTATGTCACTAATCAAACAAAAAATTTAACAAATATGGGTACTGCCAATTTACAAGATCATAAAACTGTTGGAAATGTCACTACAAGATAATATATGATTAATAGATCATAGTTCACCGGGTCAGACGTATGGAAATGTGCATGAGCTGTGTGGTGGTAATGTTCAATGCATATGTGTGTCTGTGTGTGTGGCCCACCCCACCCACCAAGCAGGGGACTTTCCCCTCTCTGCCTCTGCCATGAACATCAGGTGCTTCCTGACAAGTCTAGACCCAGAGGACCCCTTCCCTGACTGAATTTCTCCTTTTTTTCCCTCCCTCGTATCATGGAACCACTCAGCAAAAGTGGGACAAAAAAGGAGAAAAAGAGAGAGTGAGGAGAGACGATCTTGTCCGCCCTCCCTGTGTCAGCCTTTGCATATGGAAATGATATATTGAGACTTGGGGTGTCTTTAGTGCATAAGTGCCTGAGTCCCGCTGCTGCCTCTAATTTCATATAATTTCACATTTTGTCTTAAAAGGGGAGAAAATGTTCCCAAGTGAGCCAACGTCAAACTCAAAATCGTAAACAACTTGATTAAAGGAATTCTAGCCTGCATTGCCTCCCTCCCGGATAAATGATTTGAGTCTGTGTGTCTGTGTATGCAGAGACAGAGCGCGCGTGTGTGAATGTGCGTGTGTGTAGCGCACAGTCTGTTTTTAGTTCTGCCACTTATGTTTCGTTGCTGTCTCTGCAGAGACGAAACTTCATGCTCGTTAAGCAAGCAAATACAAACAGTCACACATGTGTACTCTACTTTTAACACACACACACACACACACACGGAGATGTTGAGTTGGTCTCCTGATTTCATACACTCCCCTTAGAGCTCCTCAGACAGGCTTGCTGAGCTTAAAGACTTACAGTGCCCACATAACACTGAATTATACAGAAGGTCTGATTTATGTGAGTGGAGAACGGTGGGCCGGAGAAATGTCAACGTAGGGGTTAAATGGGGTAGAAGGAAGGAAAATGGAACTTTTCTAAAATGTTCCCTCTAAAATTTCACGTTCTCTCTTTGGATTCTTTTTATCTGCGTCCGACCTTATCCCTCCTGCACTTGGGAGGGCTTCTGCACATATTTCATGTATAAAACTCCCCTACTCCTGTTTGCCCTAATGTGTTCACTCCTCTCGTGGTTAAGGATGAACCAGCCTCTGTGTCTGCTCACCGTCTTTGAGGTAGAATCATCAAAGAGTTAAGGTGTGGAGCAAAGCCAGAATAACCCAACTGCACCTTACGCACCATCACCTTCATCTCTGTCCAATGTGAAACACATACGTGGCCCCCTCCTCCTCATTTCTTGATATTACTTCTCCTTGTCTCCTTTTGTTTTGTGTTCTATTTGTTGACAGTGGTCTGTTAGTTTGTTAATGGATTTGCCTGTGGCTGTGTGTTAAAATACCTAAATGACACGACAAGGAGGCTATTGTATGACTGGCGGCAACACAATGGAGAGAGTGTATTTATAACAGGGAATGATTTTGCATTGTTTACTGAATGCACTTCTGGATAAGAAGGAGAGGAGGAGGGGGAGGTAAAGTGGTTTTGAAGGCTTCAAGTTCACTGGCATCTTTGTGTTGTTACATTAACCGTATCAACATGCTCAGTGTTTGAAACGGTTTCAAGTCAAGTGATCATGGCATGTGTACGTGTCATTTGTGGTGGTTTGAGGTGCAGGCTGAAGGAAGAGTCATCTGCAGGTGATGTCTTCAAGAGCATATACAAACCTTTAGGTGGTTAGAGCCAGGCAGTACTTGTTGATTATTTTCCATTATAAGTTCATCTTTAATTATACTTTTGATTATTCTTAAACCATTTGGGTTTTCTCTGCGTCATGACATTTATATCTAACTGAAAAGATTAATAACCTCTATTCAAAGTCACCACTTGAGTGAGTGGGGATCTTGAGAGCGGCACTCATTTTCAAATATATAATGAAACTGATAAAACACCATATTGTCCATCATCCAGAGATATTCCCCATCCTCTCCTGCCCCTTGGCTGGACCACCGGCCTCCTCAGACATGGTTTAGAACCGACTGTCTCCACTCGCTCCTTCCGTGCCGCTGGATCAAACGGTGACACCCAAGGTCTTGGCTGTCATGAAAGCCCTCTTCTTCGTACGACATTTCTGTTACAAACGTATGTTTGCTTCTACTGGAGTCATTGGTGAAAACATAACATCCATGACAGAGGTAATTATCCTAAGATACAGAAATAGCATGGTTTGTGAATTTTACCTAAATCTGTACATTTAGCTGAATGACAAAAACTGATCTGAATGTTTTAAGGAATAATGTTGCGATTGACATACGATTATTCCACATACGTCAAGTTATTTAGTTCACCGTTAACGTACAACTGCTAAACTATTCATACAACTTACATGTATTGATTTTACAAATTGGAGATTTGGAGACGTTGCACAGGAGTGAAGCAGATGTGCAAACAATGAAAATGATGGTAGCGGCACCCTGCACCTTCCCAAGCTCCTGACTAACTAGTTGCAGGCACGGGAATAATTTTACAGGGAAACACACACACACACACACACCAATCACACAAAGTGTGAGAGAATGCTCCCTGTGTTGGCCTAAGATGTTGCCAGAATACCGCACTTTATAAAAACAGCTTTACAAATCATTGACAGCAATAATTAACTACAGGTTCACATAACTGAATTCTGTTTCACCCCCCTCCGTCTCCCCTCCTGCTGGAAGAAATGAAGGAATGAGTGTTGGAGAGAGAGAGAGAGAGAGAGAGGGAGAGAGAGAGAGAGAGGGAGAGAGAGAGAGAGAGAGAGAGAGAGAGAGAGAGAGTGAGCAAGAGTCCTCTCAGAGGAGGGTTACCGGGGCAGACTGTGCCCTCAGTTAAACTATGTGCTTAAGAGGTGACATGAGTGCTGGGCAGGCCGGTGCCAACTTTACACTGAGCTGAAAGGTCCAAAAACAACTCTTCAGACATCTCTGTGGGTTCCAACTGTTTAACACTGAGCAGAACTTTCACTGCTGCTGAAGGTGAAGAAGCTCACAGGTGTTTGTAAGGTTAACTGGAGGCTATCTGATTTATTTGGAATGAGATGTTAGGAATATTTGAGGAAGTATTTAGTTGGGCATACACAACTGTGTGCGTGTGTGTGTGTGTGTGTGTCCGAATGGGAATGACAGCAAGGGCAGAGCACCTTGTGTTTCCAGTTTAAACATTTAGACATTCCTGCTAGATCGGCTCCTGGAGCAGGAGGTGTTTGCAGAAGCATTATCGCCGACCCTCTCTCTTCTCTTCTACAACCCTTACGCACTCCCCTCCTCTTTACTTTTCTGCCCTCATTCATCCTGACTCAGACCTAAAGGGACCTTAAAATGGGAGGATACACTCCCCTCTGTGTGAAAAAATGAAACTGTATAAGTGTTGAGGGAGTGTTAAGTGGATGAGGAGGATAAAATACTGCAGGTGAAGGACCATGATGATTTAGAGTCTAGTCCAGCATATTTTTTATTACAGATATTACCTCCAACAATGAGGTCATGTTATTGTCTGCGTTTGTTAGTTAAATTAAAACCTTTGGACAGATTACCACAAAACCTGGTGGAAGGATGCAGTATGGATCAGGGGAGAACACATGAAATTTCGATGCAGATGCACATTAGGGGCGGATTTTTGAATTTCTTTAACATTGCGTTTTTATACAATTTTCATTGATTTCACAGAGAATCCAGGATCTTTCTTCATCTGTGAGCAGCTCATTGATTCAATCAGCCCCTTCTGACTTTGCTCGCACTCTCTCTCACACCGCCACACACACACAAACTTAAATTTGACTGTTAACTCAGCCTTGGATGAAAGAACATACTTTGGCCATTCGCAAACACAAATTACGTACATGGGTTATATGGAGCGGGAAAGTGATATCCGATCAAAAGTGGTAACAGGTGACACATTCAAGTGAGTGTTTTGAAGTTCGTACCATGAGGATACGTCGGTAGCTGTCTCGGTCGATACCCCACAGCTTGAGGTCAGTCTTGGCCTTGACAGTGGCAGCTCTTGGAGTTCCATAGATCAGGGCCAGCTCTCCAAAACTGCCCCCTTCTCCAATACTGGTCACCCATTCTCCGTTCACATACACCTGTGGACAGAGCAAGAAACAGACTGATGGATAGGGTAATAAAAGCTTCTGAAGAATGTCAATCATGGCTGGGCGTATGTGAAGAACGTTTTTTGCCAATTCAACCTAACTACCCATCCTGAGACACCTTCCCTCAATGTTTCTGCTCCTCTGCTCTCTCCAGGCTCCTTCATACACTCACTAGGCTTGTCCTTACACATTTGATCCCCACTACGCACACAGATGAGACCCTCTAAAATGCTCTTTATCCCTCTTATCTCTCCATCCATCTCTTTTTATTCCCTCTGTCTTGTCTTGTTAAGAGTTTTCCCTTTGATTTTGGAGTGATGGAGGACAGAAAGTTGTGGTAGATGTTGTGGGTCTACCCTCAGATCTAAAACACACACATGCGCTTATGGTCTCATAGCTCAGCTCTATTTAGTCCATTCACTATAGCTCCACAGACAATACAAGAGACTCATTTAGGTTGTCTCTGGGGTCGTTACGGTTTCACCTGTCGACACACTATCCACTATCGTGTTGACTTAATAACGCTGTGAGAAAGAAGGAGCGAGAGAAAGAGAGAGAGGGTTTATCCCTCCGGTGGCTGTTATAAATTGCCAGAATTGTTGCAAGTCATTATCCAAGGCTCAGCGTAGACCACAGGGGAGTCATACTTCACTCGGCCTCAAAGAGACTGCAGACTGCTGGCTACAGTTACCTCAAGCCTACAAGAACAATTATATGAATGTTGCAAAAGTGTTACATCAGAGCACACAGGTAGTAGTATTTCTTCTGGCACAGTTTCCCTAGCTGGTGCTCTAAAGTATCCCCTAACCTGGAAGCCTTTGTTCAGTCTCCACTGCTCTTCATGTGATCCTATTTGGTTCCACACACACTTACTTGGTTTGGTAGAGCTGTGGTGGACCCAAAGTAAACCTGAAGCAGGTCTGAGTGTATGAAAATGTGGAGTCAGCAGTGTGGGGAAGGTAAAATCGAGGTTATCATATAAAGAAAAAAGTCTGAAGCAATTTGAGTCTTGAACAATGTCTGCTGTCTCACAGCTGTCTGCTGATTTTTTTAATACACGTGCAGTTTGCTGTAGACAATTGCGTAAGTGTGAGTGTGTGCGTCTGGTGGTAATTAAGAAGCAACAAATCTCAAATTCTGGAAAGTGGATGAGCAGGCATTGTTGCGCTGTATTTCTGTTTGTGGTTACTTGGAGTGTGTTTTCCCATGAGCTGCATGGATGTGTGTGGAATGTTGTCTGTTATGCAGCGATTATTTCATTCCATTCTAAAATGCCACCAGTGTAATATTATTAAAATAAGCCCACTCTTACAAAATAATAGCTTACACTAAGGTCAAAGTACCTAATTAACTTAGGGACTTTTCTCATCGAATCAGATATGATCATCTGTGATCATAGATACAACACTTATTTGGTTATAACATTTTATTCCCATTAGATCAGTGGATTAAAGTTTTAAATTCCTTACGGGCCAATGTTTGTTAGTGAATACATTTGTGTGCAGACATGGAGGCATACGCCAGGGACGGGAGGGAAGAAAGAGACACAGATGGGGTTTGGGCGGAGGTGAGGCAGCGCATTGGATTCTTCCCCCAGCTTGGGTGCAGACTGACAAGGTGCTGGGTGTGAGAGCAGATGCCTAAAGATGTACTGGTGGTGGACAGTGAGAGGTAGAAGTCCCACACCAGAGTGGATCACCTCCACTTCACCACATTGCAATCATGGTAATAATTAAGCTTTATTTATATCGCACTGTTCTTAAAAAAGTTACAAAATGCTTCATAAGAGGGTAAAACAATAAAGCAACATCAAAATGAAAGGTAAAACAATAACAGATATAACATTTCTGATCTCAGCTGCTAAGTGATTCCAGAATTTGAGGCTGTACAGCAAAAGCACGATGGCCTTTAGTCACTATGGGAACTATCAAAAGACCAATATCAGGCGATCTAAGCAGTTGTTGATCCTCAAAACATAAGCCAGAATTACATATGAGCCTTAAAAAAGGATGCTGAAGCCACAGGACTTGGCATCGGAGCAACAGTAATCTGTAAACTGGGTAAATTAATTGGTAATATAAAGCTGGGACACAGAGACGTTTAGGTAGGATGTATGGAAGAGAGTGAAAACAGCCAGCAACAGACAATATTTAACACTTCCTTCTGTCTGTGTCTAAGGTGGGCAAACTACATTGGCAAGCTCGACCAGGCTTACCAACATTCTACTCTCCAGTTACTCTGTGCTCACGGCTGTAAGCTGATAAGGTCACTTCCTGTTTAATTTTCCATCAGCTCCTGTTTTATCTTTCCACTTAACTCTATCGCTCTTTGTCCGGCTGGCTAAGTCAAAAGACGTTCTCAGTTTGGCTGCCTTCACATAGCACTGGGCTCTATAGCGCCATGTTCAGATTGTCATCACAGCAGAACCACATTTTGAAGAGAACAAAACATCGGGGCAATCCAATACAACCTGTCCATTGTTAGAGGGAAACACTGTCGGAATATGAGTGGGGAAGGCTGAGTTTTCCCACTGAGTCCCAATCCTCATGAATACGTCCTGAAAACAGGTAAATAAACTCTAATACCTCATTTAAAAGTACTTTTATAACCATACAACATCAGTGCAGGGAGTTATCATCATCCTAAATCGCCCCAGTTGTGACATAGGCTCCTCAGATATACACCCATAGGGGATTGAAGTTGATCAGATGTGGAGAAAATTGAAGGACAGACATATTTCTGGATTTATTAGCCGGATGGTGGGCTTTAATTCACTTCATTGATAATGAGACTCTATAGAGAGAATGAATGGGAATAAACACGTGTGCTTGTGTCAGTCACTTACGTCCACCTCGCCTTGGTCAATAACATAGAAGTTGTCTCCTTCATCACCTGGATGTGAGAGAAAAGGAGAAACAGGAGAAACAGTTTTTGAGTGACCAGAAAAACAAATCTGGCAAAATGTCCAGCGTTGAACCAACAGGAGAATGTCTTCTCTTACGTCCATCCCCTCTCTTCATACTCAAAAGTGAATTTTTAAGCCATTAAACTAAAGAATTTTGGGGATGAAGATATGAAATGATCGGTCAGTTGGAGTAACAGCTAGCCTGGCACCAGCCCATCTAATCTATACATACAAGGCTTGCAAATTAAAATGTTTTGGGTTTGCTGACTGAAATCCCTGCTGTGTCACCCAAGTGAACCCTAACCTTTGAAGCGAGCCATGGGTTGGTAGGTTGACGTCCACTAAAAGCATCTAGTCTGGAGATAAGGCTGAAAAATGGCAAAGTGTTCCTTTAATTATGCTATCCATTACATAGGGCTGAGAGGGGAAATTATTAAAAGGGACTGACGGCCATATACACGAGCACAGTGAAACACTCCCTCCAGCTTCCTCTTACAATAAGAAACAAATGCAACTTCATTCATAGTCACATGTGGTAATGGTGCATGCATATACATGACACAAGTATGTTTGTGTATGCATTTCATAGGTACTAAGTAAGGGTGTGTATGACTGTGTGTGCACATGTGTTCTTCTTGTGTGAATGTTCGCCTTCAGAGTTGAAAGGCTGGGAGTGCCCGGTGTGTAAAGTTCACCGGAGTTCACATGGCTAATTAATATTGAGTGGAGAGTGCTCGTTAATCATATAGCTCTATTTGTCACAAAAATGCTCCTTGTCTGTCAGATGGTCTGTCTATGGAGACCCCAGAGACACACACACACACACTCAACCTGCTGCAACCTGGCCCTCCACTATCTCCCTCTCGCTGTCTCTTCCTCTCTCTTTCATCTCATCTATCTTTCTTTCAATTCCCTCTCGCTCCGTCTTTCTTCTCTTCTACTCTTCCTGTCTTTTATCACTTTGGTTCGCAAGTCTTTGTTTTACGCTCTTCCAATCCCCCTGTGCCTGAGAGTGAAGGCAAATATTTGACCAGAGCATGCACGTGTGTGTGCGCGCACACACACACAAGCGCACACACACAGGTACACTTAGTGTGGCCTTGTTTTGACACAGGATAATTGTCGTATACACTGTTAAGGTTCTTTGATTCTGCTCAAAAGAAAAACATGACTACATCCTCAGCCTCTAAGGGGTTTTGTACCGAAAATACTGTTGCACCATTTAGCTGAAGATGCCCATCTATCAAAACTTATTTTGGATTTTTCAGAATCATCCACAAAGAAAACCTTCTACCACATTTGAATTAGTTACTCATGATGACATGTCAGAAACAATGAAAATACATGAGAAAAGACATGTAACAAGAGACAATTGATGAAAATACCTCAATCCTGCATTTTTGTATGTTATGGAGTAAATTCTCTCTTTGTTTAAATACCATTCCAGCCTCTGAGTCAATAACTCTTAGCTGTGTCTAAACAGTGTGTGAAAGGCCAGTAGCACGGGTAGTTTCTTGAAACTGTACAGTAGTCCAGACTTTAGTAATGACATCAGCATTGTATATACAATGTACCACACCATATAGCATGTATAACAATGGGCTGTCTGGGGCTGGGGGCCCTCCAAAGATAGCTAGACTTATTATCACCAAATTAGGCCTGATATACTCCTGGATGCCAACTTGTGGTAGATGGGAATGACTGGGTGAGTATGTGTACAAGCACTGACAGTTTTCCTTCACTTAACATGCAGGTGAATGTGTTTGCAAGGCATGCGTATGATTTTGTGCAGGTTTGGACGTAGTATTACCGGAAAGGTAGCATTTGTCTGTGAGAATGTGTGTTTTCAGCATTTAAATATGTGTTTAAACCGGCTGTGTCTGATAGGAGTTTGAGTTGTGTGTGTGTGCGGGAGGGGGGCACTGGAAAAATACAGTCTGGTCCTGCTAAGCTGTGTTCCCTCAAAGTCCAGGGAAGTCTAGTGAAGGCTTTGACGACTGTGGTTAAGCAGAGGAGAGGGAACTAACATCTGGTGCAGGCTGATGGGATGTGAGACTGAGGCGAAGAGAGGAAAGGGGAGGGAAAAATGGGTGTAACAGGATAAAGTGCATGTGAGTCTTGGTGGCAATGCAACACATGCATTCTTTGAGATAAAACCATCAAAGGTAATCAGTGAGAACACCATCCTAATTGTTTCCTTTCCACTAAACAGCTGAGTGGATCAAATATATGCCAATGCAATGTAACTCAAAAAGTCAGTTGTCAGAATATGCTTTTAATATCCACTAGTGCAGTTTAAAAAAAACTTTCGACGTTAGCTATTTGGCACCTTCCACTGGATACATTCTATGATGATTTATTGTATGATTAATGGTTTTAAGCTCTGTTTTCCCTTTGCAAAACTACTGATAATTTATGTCATGATATGGCATCATCTCACCTATTTTCTCTATGATAATAGCGCTCTATTAGAAAGTAGTTTCAGCAATTTGGAAGCCCACATTTTATCATACTCTACAGGTTACACATGACTGCATAAATGAATCCCAATAAAACATCTTTACGTACCTTGCTGGATGACTGTTTCCCCTGCAATGTGAGTGACGGGGAACATGGCATCAAATATGTCACTGGGGATGGAAACAGAGAGGAAAGGGGAAAAGGGAAAGAAAAGAAAAAGAGAGAAGAATGGTTATTACCGACATACTGTACCTGCTGTTGTGGTTCATTATCTCACAGTTTTTCTGGATTCTTTACACGTGTCAATACACAAGCATACAGTACACACACAAGATTTTAATCCATTTAAGAGCAGCGAAGGAAAGAGTCATCACTGTGTCTATTCTGTCAGTCGCATGCCGACATCGACGCATGTTACGATGGTTCTGATGCACACTAAAAAAACAGTGCAATCACTTTCCACACATTAAGACCCACACATCCATGGATGCTCAGATAGAGCAAGTGCATTTGTTCAAAAATATACATTCAATGTATATTCATCTCTTTATGGCACTATATTTAATTTGACTGTTTACCAATTAATAATGTTTGAATTAATTCATTTTGAGTTTTTCTTTATGCAAGTACCGAAAACTAAAATCATCTAATCATCAGATAAATCAACATCATCAAGCCTTTTCGTATTAGTCAGGCACATAGGCTCAAACATGACTTTGTGCTGTTACAGGACAAGATTAAAGCCTGTATCGAGGACTGCATCTTCTATCTTCTTAATCTCTTATTGAGAAAATAAACAAGATAAATTCTGCACCAAAGCACTTAAATTCAGTTTCAGCCCAGCAGGGAAAGTGTGTGCGCCTGTTAAGACTGTTTCTAACTGGGCCGTTTAAATGCATGAAGCCTCAGTAGATTAAAGCTCCACCGCTGGGATGTGTTGGGACAAGAGAAAACTCAGTATCCTTTCTCTTCTCCTCTTGGCCCATCTCACACCTCCAGGGTATATTTATCTATCTAATCAGTTGCATACCATCCGTCTTATAGAGAAATATAGAAAAAACAATAAAAGAGGGTCAGGCATATCAAAGACTTACAAGACCTGCTAGGTGAATGTGGGGCATGTTTGAGCCTGTTCTGTGTGTGTGTGTGTGTGTGTGTGTGTGTGTGTGTGNGTGTGTGTGTGTGTGTATGTTTGAGCCAGGCTGTCTGTGTCAAGGTACATTTTGCCTATGAAAACACACAGGTTTGTACAGCATAATGTGTGGCTGTCTGTGCTCATGGCAGTGCACTAGACTATGCATGAAATGACATGAAATGACAAGAGTTACACAGCCAAACACACCTTGAAGGAAAACTAAAAACATAAAATAGTTGCTTTATTTAAGCCGTCCTGTTAAAAAGGAAAAAAAATGCAGGTCAACAGATGTTGGGAAGAGATCTGAGGCTGTTGTTGAGTGGTTTGGAGGTGAATGGACGCTGCTGGTATTTGTTTATGTGATGCCGAATAAAAAGCAGACTTGAGGAGGTGGATTCGGGCCAGCTTAACCCACAGGTAGGCCCTGTGCGATGCAGCTGGCCACTGACTCACATGTCCTCAAGGACACAACACATGAACAAAAAAAACACACTCACCCTTTGAAGTGAACAAGTACGAGCTAAAAGATGCAAAGACACACTAAGGTACTCTACAATAAATACATCCTCACGTTGCATGCAGCTGATCACCACACTCAGTGGTGCACGTCAGCACACTTGCACACACTTGTTAGAACAACAACATATTTAAGAGTAGGCATGTGTGATGAAACACACACATACTGGCATTCACATGTGTCACACGCAAGCTCTTTGATGGTGTTTAGTCAGAGCAACATCTGCAGGAGTGCCACACATCTGTGCTCTGCACAGAGTCTATCTGCACAGGGAGCTTCAGAGCAACGGATTTCAGATCACGCATAACTACTGTGTGGTTTATGAAAATCAGTACCTTTGCAAAAACTAGAATGGCACTGAGTAGAGCACATACCGTCTGCTTAAATTCAATCAAGCTGCACCAAATTACACACCCTCATAGATATCAATTCACTACAAATGCTTGTTTTTTTCAATCAAGATCCATTAATTAGTCCTTTGAAAAATGGTCAAAATGCTGAAATATGCCAATCTTGTAATTCATGGATCCTGATCTAGATATGCACCAACATTGTATTGGTTCTTCCCTGACCCATGTCAAACCCTTCCACCAAGTTTTGTGGAAATCTGTTCAGTTGTTTTTAGTGTAATCTACAAAAAAACAGACTAAAATTACCAAGGAAAAATTGAGTAAAAATTAATTATATTAATATCTCAAATGAAGTCAAAATTTTCCTGGGAACTTTTGGCGGTGGTGCTGGTGGAATTGATGATCTGCAAAGCTGAGCTCTGTTGTCGTAGTGAGACGATCAAAGAGAAGCAAACCTGTTTAGGTAATTACCCTTGACCACCTATCTCTCCCATGCCCTGCCACTCAGTGAATGCATGTGAGCACAACAAAGACACTTATGCAGGTAATTACTTCCCCTCATCTCTACCTGACTCTCTCTCCCTTTCTTCATCCTAACTTCCTCCCTGTCTGCTCTCTATCACTTTTTCTCTTCCTCTCCCCTCTCAATTACCCCTTTCTTCCCTCTAATTCTCTCCCTGCTCCACCTATTTCTTCCATCTCTCGGTCTATCGCCCGCCTCCCCACCGTTCCCAGATGAAGTGATTAATCTTGTCCTTTCCGCTACCTGTAGCCCCCCTGACCTTATGAAAAGGCAGAGCCCCCTTCCCCAACAATGGATGTGCTGTTCTGACAGAGACAGATAGAAAGAGAGACCCTGCAGACATGCAAGGAAGGGAGACAAAGCTTCTGTCCTGCTAGAGGAAATACTGAAACACACAAGTACCTGCCTTCACCCGCACTTATTGGTACACATTGATGTAAGATCACAGATCTAAAAAAATTAATCCATGAAGAAAGTATGATCCCCATGTCAAGATGCAGGTACAAATACAGATAGTTGCACTTCTTCAATAATCTGAGTAGCTATCCTGGCAGTAAAGCAGCAGTTTTATATTCACAGGAACAGATGATACCAACATTGGCAGAAATAACATAAACATAGATAGACACCTTTATGTAATACCCTGCACTGCATTGTGCTGTGCTCATCATGAGACTGCAAGTCAGACTAGCAAAGCCTCATTAAAATGTAGCTACCACACGTTGAGAGTGTGTGTGTACACATGCATGTATGTGTGTGTTTGTGTGGAAGTGACAGGGAAAGTTTACGTGCCCCTTCACACACACACACACACACACAAACACAATGCAGCAACAGGCTATTATTGTTCTCAAACCCCCATAAAGACGTGTTTAGCTCGGGGGATTTCAGTCATTAATGAAATAAAATCAGGCCTGCTTGTTGTAGCTAGATTGCTTGTTGTTCTTCCTGGCTAGCATTGACGGCTTTTCTCTCTCACCTCTTCCCTCCTCCTCCTTAATCTCTCCTACAACACAGCTGTTTATTTGTTCAGCAGCAGGCATCTTATCTCTTACATTAGTACCTCAACAGAGCACCACCATTATGCCATTAACACCAAAAGGACTCTCTTCGCAGCGCGGCGTGCCGCCACGTCTTTGTGTTTTTTTAATGGGCCGCAGAATGTCAAGTTATACAAGTCCTTCATGGGGAGCACATCCAGAATACTCCCTCCGTCTGGGTGGAAGAGGTTTAGAAATAGCCAAAATAATCAACTACTGCACCACATATGGGACTTCGCAGCTCTCCAAGCTGTGTCTTGGCTTGGCAGCGATGTGCCACTGGCTTGGCTGCCACACTGTTCATGCTGTAAGTGCTTGAAGGATTAATTTTCACTACCACTGTTGACACTAATTTAGATTCTGGCTGATTCTGGCAAATCAGAACAATACTCTTTGTTTAAAAATATAAAGAAGAATGGCCTGAGCACACCAAATGTACACAGGAGTTTTATAATATATTTCAGTTTGCAGAGTCAGCAGGCAGTAGAGGGGCATTGTAATCATCCTTCAGCTGCTAGAATGGCACTCACTCAGTATACCTCCGCCAATGCCAAATGGTCCATAATTGTGTAGTTATTATAGTCGAAAGATAGGAATTAGGAAAATAAATAACTAAATAATAGTAGTTTTGTGTAATCCCTGCTAAAGAATAAATAAACAAATCAAACTTGACCTCCTTGTTGGAGGTAAAACAAAATCCTTCAGGAATCAACACAACATTAGAAAAGGGTACAATAATCTGTAGAACTAGGAACCTAAGAAATTAGATTCATATGCAACTATACACCAGTAAGAGGTAAAAAAAAAATTAAAATAAAAAAAAAAGATTAGTTGGCACATATTTTATCGTTTATGATGTCAATGTAATAATGAACAAGCCATAAGAGGAAAAAGTATGTTGCTCTTATTGTTAACAACTTTAAGTATAAAGGTTGCTATGAGCAACACACACTACAGTACTGCCTTTTGTTTACCTCAGTGGAGTGAAGCGTTGTGATTAGTCAGCACAATGTGTAAAGCAGGCAAACCCACAAAAGTGAGCATGCACATGTAAATTAGATTTTCACTGATGATGGAAGAACAACTGTTTACTAGCCTGTTGTGTGACTCATTACGGGTATATCACCGTAAGATGGAAAAGTTTTATGAGGCTGACTATGTGGCGTACAGTTTAATGTCCAGAGTTTAAAGTTGAGCGCAACCAGCCAAAGTAACTCACACGGAACAATCAACCCCACTTTGTTCATGTGAACACAACTAAATGTGTTTATTAAAACCATCAAATTACATAAACAATGTGTATGTTCACACACTGCTCCGCTCACATGGACACAGACACACACCACTCACAACAGGCAGCAGTATGGGAGTGTGAAAGAAATGGGGAGATGAAAGAGGGATAATTATAAAGCACTGAATCGTTCAGGGAGGATATTTATGATATAAAAGCTCTTGGCACGCGCCCTCTCCCTGGAGGACCCGGTGAGAAACGGAGATATTGCTCCATGCCAGCTGCTGCCCATTTCTCCACATCAGCCTCCTAACGCAAAGTTCACCAATGCGGGCGGAGAGATGAGGCCATGAGGGGAAGGAGATACCTCGCCA